CAACCATGCATGTACAAAATCTGTCACAGGCACTCTGCACACTCTGTCACCAAAACCCTCTTTTCAGATGCACAGAACAACATTTTCAGAATAATTCTTTCAGAAGGAGGACAGTCACAGACAGACATAATTAATGCTAGAGAGCAGAAGAGCAGTGATCTGGTTGTTAAGGTCTCACTGCTTTTAACAAAACAATGTGTGGCCACCTCGGGGCAGCACAGCCTAGGCTTGTTGGGTGGATTCAAGACAGACTGAAGAGATCTGGGGGCAGATTGAGCAGTTAATGTATATGTGGTAATGTGTAGGCAGACATATGACTAGCTAGGGTCCCCGTTTCTTCTTAGAGAATGGGTAGAAAATTTAGGAATAACATGAGATAAACAGGCCCCTGGGTTAAAAATATTGCCAAGAGCCTTCCTTTTCCTTTTCTTTCCAAATGGGAAACCTGACGCTCAGAAACTTATAAATAAATTCTGAAAAGAGTGAGAGGGAAAGACAGAGCATTGCAGGAAAAATTCCTGCACAAGAAGAGTGTTTAGCCACAGCTGGTGGAGACACAGGGGTATGAAATGAGACTTCTTTTTACTGCTGCAGTGAGTGAGAGGGTCCCCAGGTGCTGTGGCTGCCTCTGAGACCGGAGCTGCTGAGGGAGCCAGACAGAACAGACAATCTCACTCCCACGGTCCAAAAGAGAATCTCACATGGATGTGGAAACCCAAACCTAATGAGAGCCAGTGTAGTTTGTAAAAATCCAGCAAGTCAGAAAAATTGGAATAGGTAATGAAGGCAGTCAAAACAAAATAGAAAGTGTAGTTGTTGGGACTTGAATTCTGACTTCTTGCAACAGAATATGACCCTCTGAGGTAACTGCTGTCTGTAGGTATTTCTGCTTTCTTCCTCAGCAAGCTCTCATCCTTACCCAGCCTTCCAGGTAAGTCACCTCACTGATCCCTTCCAACATAATAAAATTCTCAGTCAGTGCTCAGGAGAAGGTCACCAGCAAGAAAATAATTTTGAAGCCCTCTGAGTACTATGGGACCAAAAGAAAATTGGTTTTTCACTTCCTGAACATGCTTTCCTGCTAGAAGGACATGGCCCGGCCTTGCTACCAGTGACAAGGCAAATGGTACTGATATTAATGACTGAAAATTTAATTTCTAGGGACCTCAAGTAAACTCCTCCTATTCCATCCTCCATCTGGCCACTACTAATAAAGACTGGCTAAAAATTTAGATGTTGTAATGCCAAAAAAATTTAAGAAGAAAGGAAACCAAAGAAACCTTTCTAACCAGTAAACACATTTAAATTCCTTTTATATTTCTACACAGTCTTCTTCTGTCATGGGACTGCACTGAGGTGGGACCGGCTACTATTAATATTAGCCAATTTTACCAAATTCCCCTTACAGAGGTTAAAGTGAAATATTTTCAACGAAAAGGAAAGGGTTAGCAGAGAATATAGGCCTTAAAAAATCATAGCTGGGCTGGTCTGGCTCACATGGAATCCACTTCCAGGCAACTTCAGCCAGGTGGTAGAGGGACCCAGAGAACTTTTAGTCTACTTGCTGCTCTACATGGCTGGTCTCAGCTTCATCAAGGGAGCAAAAATTGAGATTTAGAATCTGTTTCCTAAAGCATTAATTTTCCAGTCAGGCTTCAGCCTATTAGAGTTAATCCTTTTCCACCTCTCACACTGTGTAGCAAACAGTTGCTAAGTGTTGGTGATAATGAGCATCAGCCTATAGCAAGCTCCAGAGAATCACTTAGCTACATGTGATTGTATTTTATCTATGTGCTGTACCTTGACCACACTGTTTAACTAACACAATGTCTAATTATTAGCTACACAAATCACTCATCTTCAATTACATCAGGCTTATGTTTGCTCTTGCTGCCACATTCACACAACATTATCATTACTAAAATTTAAATTCACATGTACTAACTAAAAGAAAATATATAAAAAAAGCAAGCTCAAACTACCAACTACAATATAGTTTTCAAGACTGTTTCCTACTTGCATTTCTGTGAAGTTAAAAATGAACAGCCCTTGACAGACTTATCACTTTTCACTGGAAAACAAATTTTCCATCAAGTAAAACAATCTTACAATAAAGTGGTTCTCTATTCCACTCTCAATCCAAATGTTGCAGTATTGCACTAATGTGTAAATCCCAGTAAGTAAAATTAACCATTTCTCTATCTTTCACTAATCTGTGCAGATTATTTGATTTGATTAAAAGATAATGAATCTTTTAGAAAGGGACAAGTGGCTCTACAGGGGATAACAAATCACAGCAAGGATTGCTCATTCATGTTGAGTACATCTCACTGGCAACTTAAAACGCAGTGCCTCTGTTTCCTTTTGCCTCTGGTAGGCACAACCTGTTCCTCCAACAGCTTAAGGAGCTCTTGGCCACAGCTGTCCTCTTTAATGACACATCCTTGACCAGGCTCTTGGCCCTTCCTCCCCCATGCACAGGGATCCTGAGCATTTGTAACTGGGTTACAACTCTGTTATCGACACGACATGAGCTCTCAGGATTGTTCTGCTAACATCTTCCAGAGCAAAAGCAGGTAGATAACCTCAGGACGATGTAAAGTGCCAGCACTACTTCAGCCTCTTCCAAGTCCATGCAGAAGAGGTAAGACCTCACACAGGGTGAAATTGTGTTTGCACGTGTCCAAGGTTGCCCAGGCTAACACAGAGCTAGAATTCTACTGTCCCTCAGTCACAATTTAACTTCTTTGTCTTACTCCTCCCTCTTTTCTGTTATTGCCAATTCACCTGAAATGTTCTAGCTGTGATTTTCTGCCAAAGTATAATTTCTCCCAACAGCCTGAGGCTTATCAAACATTTAAGAAATGTCTGTTTCTAAAGATAGAGCTGATCTAATTTCTTGGAAGTCTTCCTAATGATTGTTTGAAGTGCTGTAAGCCAAACATGGAAATTATGGCTAAGCAGCTTTTAAACAAGCATGCTTTTGAGCAGTTTTAGAGCATATTATCTTGTTATTAATAACACTTTCCATTCAGTTTCCCAGTCACAATGGAATGTGCTTTAATTTTGTGTGAAACTGGTACACTGGTGTGCTTTACTTGAGAGCTTTACTTCTGTAAGGTGATTGAAACTTACAGCTGCTCCTGTAGGAATATCTGCAATATCGTGGTTCTAACACAGACCCTCACAGCTTCTGACACAGGAACCAATTAGAAAAAGACAGACACAGCAAGCTTTCTGCAGCACCATCACTGTGTTCACATCAATTAACTACTTCTTACAGTTCAATAAAACTGTCATTTACCTCCATTTATATACTGGAGTCTCACTAGTACCATTTTGGTGTATACTTCCATAGAATTCCTTCCTAATCTGTACAGCAGTCCATATTTCCTAAGAAACAGGTTTTGAGATGGTAAGAAAGATGCTGGCAGTATTTTCAAGTCTTACAGGAGAGAGACTTGGAAATATGATCTTTCTTCCCAGGAAAGAAGCCTTTCTTCCCAGGAAGGACTGGTTTCAATTAAATCAATCTTAGAAGAAAAATTCATTAACATAGCACAGTTTCTGTGAATAAATAAGGACAAAAACTTTTCAAGAGACACCAAAACTTCAAAGTGTTCCATGCTTATGTCCTAACCTACAACAAACTCCATTCCTTCAGGGAACCCATCTGTCTTTCTCTGTAAGCAATGGGGAAGTAAGCGTGTCAGCACCTTATACATAATAGTCAGCACCGTGTTATCAGCTGAATCCATGATTTCTCATGAACCACTGCTAGCCTGACTCCTAAGATCAAAGTGTTCTCTGCCTGACTCTGCAACCAGAGAGAATTTAAAGGAAAGCAATAGTACAAGGGTACAGAATAATTCAGGTACAAAACATTCCCCTGGCAACATTAGGAAATAAATCACATAAATAATAACAGCAAAATATACCATTCTTCAAAGGAAACACAGCTGAAGGGAATGAAGCAACCAGGTATTTTTACAAATGGTGCTTCACCAGTGACTGCACAATAAGCTTAATGCTGGCATTTTTTACACCTTTGACGCACTCATATTAATTATGCATTCAGGACCAAAGCATTGGCAATGTCCTTGTATTTGCAGCCTACATGCATCCCCAAGTGCCAGGAAGATAAAAGACATATTCATATAATGTTTGTTCAAAGTTCTTAGAAGACAAACTACCCCTTAATGAAATCCGTTAGTTCTAGGGCACAGGTTTCCAAAAAGACAAGGGACACCAGTGTTCACAACACAGATGGTAGATGCAGATCTTGCAGCCTAAGGGCCAGGGCAGCAGGAGGTGAAATATGTCTGTGCCTTCTCTGGAAACATCACACGTTAAAAGTAAACAATGAACAAGAGTATTCCCTTAAACATCACTGGCAAGAAACAGCTAAAACAACACTCTAAATAAGCATATGCTACCAGATAAACCTTCTGTGCTTCAAGCCAGAACAGAGCCATGATTGGCACAGCCCTTTATCAAGGTGAGCTTCTGCTAGAGCTAACAGAAAGATGTTCAGATGGATCCCTGTCTGATTTTGCAGCAGGCTCTTTTCCTACCTCTTCACCCTCAGATCTAGACACATAGAACACCAGGGGCTTTGATACCCAGAAAAAATATCTATGTAGCTTACATCCAACTCTCACAAACCATGAGAGAGCACTAAACATGCAACATAGAACAGCATGCAAAGAGAGTGGTTCCCAGTCAATGAAAAGGAGACACAAGTTTAAGCACCTTGCTGTAGACTACCCATGGAATCAGTTTTTGAACCAAAACTCAGACTCGGGAATTGCAAAACTGTGTGCTTTGCCCAAAATACTCAGTTATTCCCCTTGCCTGCTTCTAACAGAAGATGCCTCACAGAGGACAAAGCACTTCTACCCGAGGGAACAGCTTCCAGGAGCAATGCTGGCCATATTCATTGCCAGGTAGCTAGTGCTGACAGGATTGATCATCATGCAGGAGAATGAGGAGACTCATACCTATCCAGTATGTCTGGGAGAGGTAAGATCATCCACTGCCATATTCCCAAACCTTCGCTGTTCTCTGAATGCCAGAACATCCAGCTCTGCTCCTTTCCTGTCTTGTTCTCCACCAGCATCAGGGATACATTTCCCAGCAAGACACCATGGATGAGCCATGACATTCGTAGCTAGAAGAAATAGAACATATGAGATTAAGCATCACAAACATTATTCAAAAGTGAACAAAGTTCTCAATTCTTCTTTCCTTGCTTTCCAATTACCAAAAAAGGTGATTCTCCCATACTTAAACTCATGTCATCCCTATAGGAAACTCCACAGATATGGAAGCCTGTGATACTTAGTATATGCTATTAAACATTGAAATGACTGGCCTTTTTTTTTTTTGAGTCTAAACAGTCTGTTTTAGCTTTCACATATGTGACTAATTTTACAGGGATAAGATTGTACCTCTGTTTTGAGCAGTACAAAGACTACACGCCCCTAAGATGCCACCTAAGAGATTCACGTAAAGACTAACAACTTATTCAGTAATAAACTTTTATATTCCAGCAGCAGTAGCAGCAAAAAACACAGGGAGAAGATTGCAATAAGCAGGCATCACTAGTAATCACATCCTCATCCCCCAGATACTCTTCACAAAAATCAGTTTTTACTTTCCATCCAAGTTTCTACAGATTTTTCAATCAAAGCTCAGTAATAATTTGGTGGGGTTTTTATTAATTAAAATACTGCAGGGAACCATTTTTCTAACATTTTTGTTATGATAATGTAATTGAATCAATTTCTATGCATTTATCCCTGTATATAAAATTATTTCATGTAGTTTTCTCACTTTATGACTTTCTCTCTCTCACTGTATAAAAAGAAAAACAATTCCTTCCACATTAGGCTAGCTTCACAATCCATACTATATGAATATAGTCTTATTTTCTTGGGAAAAAGATGAGGAGCTAGCCTTTGTTGATAAAGATCATAAGTAAAATACCACATATATTGTATTCAGGAGCTGGGTTTCATCTCAATAACCAATAGAGGTGAGAATGCTGAAAGAATGAGTTTATTAAAGCTACATTAACGATGGATGTTTTGGACACAAGAAAGTGTTCAGCACAGTATCTAGTATCCATACATATTAAATAAAGCACTCTATTTTTTAGCACTTCAAAGCCACAACCAAAGTCAGGAGGCTCGGAATTAAGTTTGTATTTTACAAAGGAACACCTGATAACATTACTTCCTTGCATTGATAGCACAGAACATCCATATCCATTTCTCAGCATAAAACAAAACTGATAAATTTTGCTTGCTGTTCCTATGTCATGGTGTAAGTTTGCTCTGGCAGCCAAATCAGATGTAGGCATCAAAATGACAGAAGTGTTGCTATTATTCCTAGTTTATGATCACAATTTTGGAGTGGGTGGAACAAAATTCTGGATATCCATTGTATTAATTATCAGTACTGAATTTGGGTAAACACTACAGCTCATCTGCCTGTCTCCAAAGTTACAAAGAAAAAAGTGTCTTTGTACTGAAAAACTGACAGAGACTGAATAATCTAGATGGGGGTCTTCTCTTTCTCCAGTCCAAAAATTACTGGATTTGCCTGGAATCAATTGTACTGTATAACCCAAGGATTGATAGATGTACAAACAGATATGACAGTTTGTGTTTGCGAAACCATTTTGTTACATTACTTTGGCCATACACCCAAAATTGATGTGTAGGATTTTGAGTGGTTCAGCAAACCATCACAGGTGCCCACAGCACTTCTGGGGACAAACTGGTCAAGCCTGGACACTGGTCAAGCCTAATTTCCAGTTCACTCCTACCCCAGTTCCAGGATAGGATTCATGGAGTCCCATGGCTATTTCCACAGTCAGAAAGTGGAAATCACAGCAGCAAGTGTGAGAATTTTCACCTCCCAGACACTACAGAGAAAAAGCAGTTGAGCAGGATGGCCAGGAGCTATTTCAGATTCACAACATGATGGCCATGGAGGCAGCTGAGGAGGGCTGAGCTCATACCCAGCAACCAGAACCAGCACTGGTGAGAGAGGCTGCTGACAAATGTTCGTGGTGTAGGAGGCTAATGCTTTCAAACTTGGTGTCTGCATGGTTACTCCTAACAGGTGACAATCAAGATGAAAGAACTTGTTGGGTATTCTATATTTTCAAATGCCTACAAAGTGAGGCCTTTTTTTGTGTGAATTTAGGTGAAAATTTGTACCTTTCTGACCCAATAACGTAATTTCCCTGGAGAGAAAACTGATCAGGACTAAACTATTTGTTCAAATAAGTTTGGAATACCGGTAGACATTTAAAACCTTCCACTTATACCAGGGAAAGCAACACCTCTTACTGAGAGTCCACACGTCCTCTTTTAGGACTTAAGTGCCAACTCCCTGTGCAATCCACTATGTGACATTTTTAAATACAGGTGAGTTGGAACTTCACTGTGCCATTTTGATAGTTTAAAATTTGAGAGGTAAAGCTCCCACTAGGCAGAGGCTTTGAGACTTCTGTCTCTTCTGGAGACCTGCCAGAAAGTAAGAGGCAACATCTACATGGTCAGAAGTGAGGGAAGAACAAGCCTTTGATAGCTGTTAACGTAACACTAGAGCAAAAGCTGAAGCAACTGATGAATTGGAATGAATGCCTTTGCACACATGTCAGCTGTTTGAAGGAAAGAAGTAGCTGGCAATAGATGTGGGAGATCAGCTCATTGGCAAAGTGCAATATGCAAACTCTAATGAACTGGCTCTGAGTGAATCGACTGGCACTGTGTCCAAATGGGCATTTTTGGCTGTGATTTCCATGGTTTCTAATCCTCACAGCAGGGCAGTCCAGGTCTTTTCACACCTGCTGAAGTGAACCAGAGCAGATGATGAGCTGGATACCATAGTAAAGACTTCTGAATGGGGCTGGCATTCATTCGGTTGAATACAGCATCAATGATGGCAGATGGCACTACACACACAGTGCACCCTGCAAGCAGAGCAGTGGCACATTTGGAAAAATCTAAAGCTGGGCTGTTGGTGGAATACCCCAACATTATGCATCAAACATCTCCCTCCGTGTTAAACTAGCAGTAAAATATTCAGAAGCTAGAAACATCACTGAGAAATTAATTAAGCATAGAAGGTAAGCACTGGCTCAATGGCACCTTGCTTTCTGGCTTTAGAACCCACCAGAGCTGGTGATCAGCTGTTCATATGCAAACCCACTGACTCAGTAAATGAAATGGTCTAAACTGATCTGGGGAAAATTAACAGGAGGGAGAGCCCATGGTAAATACACAGCATATTGAGGCAAAACTCAGGTTGGATGGCTACATGCACTGTACTGCGAGCACCATCTGGAAAGATGCCTTCTGAGCATCCCCTTAGCCTCTGAGTTGGTGGAGTTTCTGAACTGACGAACAGGAGACTCAATTCATCCCAGAAAGAAAAAAAAACAACCCAAAAACTAATTCTTATCAATATCAACAGGGCTTGTCGGGTGAAGAAAAACAAGGAAGGTAGATTTTCCAGCACAAGCCTCATAACTTCACCACCACTTGAGAACTGAGACTTCCATTTTACTTCCTTTTGCAAAAAAAGAGAAATAAAATACCAAGAACCTTCTGGGTGAAGTTTGAACTTGCTGACACCTCTGAATCTACTTTAATGGCTAGAAACATTCCAGCATAAACTATCTCCGAGATGCCTGACCGAGGACCAATGACACACACTTGCAGCAGCATAAATAAAACATTCTGCAGTGACACCCTGGAGAGCTGCTGTTTCTTTTTCCTCCCTTTCTGCATGGCAATGATGCTGACTATTAGCATTATGGTCCTACCTGGCAGGAATAGATAGATACTTGGCTGTCTTTAACACAAGTGAAAAAGAAACTGGAAAATAAAAACATACTTCAAACAGGACTTGGAGTAAAGTAGTTTTAAGAAAACAGAGAAGAATCTACAGGCATTTTGCTCCCAAGGAACTGCAGTAGTTGGATCTCACTGGTGGCTCTCTTGGCCAGCAACACCTCAACTCTAGAACACAGGTTTTCATCTTCTCAGACAGCACATTACTTTGTAGTGATGCCCCCAAGTCCTTGCTCCTTCCCTCCATGATGCTTGCTCAAAGGAATTGCCCAAAATTTGCCTGACAAGGAACAGTGGATTCTTGAAATGCAGACATTTAGTCTCCTGAAAAATGTTACTGTTTCCTTGGGTCTTCTTCACTGGAAGGGAAACAGTAGAAATTGTTTTCAGTGGTGAATGCGCTGACCCAGTGAATGTAACTCAGGTATTAAAGAAGCTTGGAAAACATTTCATTATTGACGAGACGCTGAAGCTGCAAGCTGGAATATGATTTGCACAAAATTAGGCAATAGCTGCAGACACTTTTGCCAAGTCTCAGTAAGATTTGTACATGAATATGAGCTACCTTTGACATGTGAAGTTTATCACACTGATGATATTTTTTTTCTTACTAGAAATGAGTAATGGTTGCACACAACAGTACAAGCAAAGACATCTATTAGTAGTGTTCAGCAATTCAGACTTGGACTCTTATGAATAATAAAGAGGATCAAAAGGTCTTGTTTCTGGTTTTTGGCCAGATCTACAACAATGCATGATCAGGCTCTCTTGAAGTCTGCAGACACTTCTGCTTTAGATGAGGACTCAGGTGTATAAGCAAAAACCTTTTGTAAATTATAGAATTCTAATTAACTGATCTGATTATGTAGCTTTAAAATACCCAGGCAGGCTCATGTTTATAGGAACAGATTCTCCCACTATTTATTCTCACATTATTTCTTTATTTCAGAAAATGGACAAAGAGAAAAATAAAAGCAATAACAAAAGAGAAAGTGTTCAGAATTCTGATGTCAGAGTACTGTGGAATGACCAGCATTCAAGAGACTTCAGATGCTATAGATCCTCTGATCCTGTGACACAAAAGCCAGTTGGGAAAGGGAGCAAGAGAAGACACATGACAGTGAATAAGCTGTACAAATTTTAAAAACAACATTTTAAAATAAAAAAGTATGCTAAGAATATTCTGCCAAATAAAGCACATGAAAGGCTGAGCTAGAGGCATATCTGTGTTGCATTTTTCATGCTCGTAAATTTTCAGTGTCAATGTTATTACCATGTATGCTTCTAAGTTATTTAAAGCTCAAGGAGTAGAGGAGAAAAGGAGACAATGCAGGTGTAAGCATGGGGCTCAGAAGGCACTCAAGGAATGATTTATATTATTGACTTACATGCCTTGAAAATATGCAGCACTTCTGCATAGAAAAGAGAACTGAATTAATAAACAGAGAGGATGAAAACATCTTTATATCTGTAAATCTGACTGAGAAGGCAAACTTCAACTATACTGTTGTACATCAATATGTTATATTTATTTTCAAGCAAGAGTACATTTACATTCAAAAAGTAATTTCAGGTGTTAAAGAAATCTGGCCCAGTTTAGTACTAACTTACATAACATAATGGTGGCTTTCAACAAACAGCTAGTTGAAATGTCAAAATAGAATCAGAAAAATATTTTCATTATTTTAAACACAGCCAAAAGCACAAAACACATTTACTATCATAGGAATCTGTTTTCACTGTTTCCCAGCACAACTATACCCTTTAAAAAGTTTGACCTAGGGCCTACCAGGAAAATGAATTAATCTGGTTCCTAATCACAAAGCAGTCCCTCTTGCAGAGTCACCTTACTCTGAGGAGATGCATGCAATAACATTTAAGGCTAATTTCAAATTCACCCCATGCAGGCAACAGCAGCTCTGCTGTTACTCTCCTTCTCTGTAACAGCCCACACCAGAGCTGCACGCTTGGCTTTTACTTATCAGGCGTGGCGCTGAGATACTGTCACAGATTCCCTTGAGCTGAGCAAAGCACAGCCTGTCTAAAAATCGTTCTCCAGACTGCTCATGTTTCTGGAGTGACTTCCAAGCAGAAGGAGTAGTAACAACCCACCACAAAATGAAATCTTGCAGGATAGATGCAAGACTGCAGCCCAGGCAGGTACAACTGTACCAGCCTCTTGGATGTCTTGATGAGACATGAAACCCACAAACATGTGTGTTTCTTATGACCTACAGGTACCACAACATCCTTCAAGGCCTGAGGATGCAGACATCAGGGAACATCTCTAAAAAAAGGAAGGAAAAGCCAATCAGCACATGTGACTGCACCTGTACAGCAATAATGCTGGACTGAGGGAGATGGGATTGCTTTGTCTAGACAGGGGGGTCAAAACTGAGTCTCCAGCTTTCACACAAAGGTGAGTAATCCCTGGGCACCTGCAACACTTCTGTCAGCTCTCTGACTTCTTTGTGAAGTACTGAGAAGAAGGTAGCCATGATAGTTTGGAAACTGTGCCCACCTAGGGGCTATCAACTGTGGTAAAGCAATTAGTTTTGCCATGGTGGTGTCTGAGATGACAGCACTTCCCTTGGATTTAATTGCAATGTTGTTTCCTAGGTTCCCAAACACCAGTACAGCTTCTAATGACATGCATATGGATTTCTTCTTCAAAATGAGGAAATGCCTATCCATCCCATGCTCCTCTTTGCCCTGTCAGCCTTGCACATGCCAATTGATTCCCACTTAGAGGAGGGGAATCTCAGTGTGACAGAAGGGAAAGTAAAGCTGTGCTTTACTGCTCAAGCTCTAAAAATTCTGCCTTTAAATCAGGCCACTATTTGGCTTAATTCTGTGTACTTCATGTGCATTCCTATGCTCAATTACATCTGCTTTACTTCCAGTGAACTTTTATGTGTGGGTTAAAAGGTTTTCACTCTTGATTATTGTGACTGTTTGGTTCCAGAAGCATTTCCTGAGCTTTTTGTTGCATCTCCCCTCTCTGGCTACTTCAGGGTAACGAAGCATCACTTCACGGACTATGTGAACCACTTCCTGCACTCACCCAAGATTTAGTAGAAGTACCACAGCTTCCCTCTTCAATAAAGAGTGGGTTTTAAACACAGACTTAAAGGGGTCAATAAGCAAAGGGCTCTACTGAAAGTGCAACGTGAAAAAGATAACAAAGGCTGTCTGGACTGCAAACAAGAGAGATTCTTTGAAGCCAGGATACTCCAGCCAAGATTTAATAAAACAACAAAAGAAAAGAGAAAAACTAACTGAACCAAGAATAAAGCGCAGCATCACAAACGGACTACTCTGACCTGCCAAAAGCACTGAAGAACAAAGAAAATGAAAATATAAGGCTGCTCAAAACAAATAGGAGTGAAGTGCAATACAAAGCTGTACACAAAGTGCAAGGCACATTAGGGCCAATCCCAAAAGTGTGGGAAAGTACAGGCTATGTTTATTACAGTATCTCCTGTGTGCATTTTTATCTTTTTCCCATCTTTTGATGCATGTGGGGCAGTGCAGAGTAGGTGAGGCTGATGTTTCCTTTCCTGAGTTAACAAGGAGCCTCCCACAGGGCATGGAAAGGGCAGCCCTGCATGCTCCTGGTGACTGAGCTCAGGCTGCAGCGAGCACAGAGATGAGTGTCACACCAGTCCCATGCTCAGTGACAGCTCATGTGCCAAGCTCATCCATGCTGTGGTGTCTCCAAGTGCTAACACCAACACCACTGCAAACAGCTGCCCGGAACTCAGCAGAGAAGGTCTTTGGACCAGGCTGGTCAGTCACCTCCTTTTCCAGTCTGCCACAGTGAAAGATTAAACGGCCAGGCTCAGGCAGGAAAAACAAGCTTAAAGCATTAGAAACTCATTGTGGCTAGCACCCACTGTGGACTGCTTGGCTGTTTCCTTATCAGCTTTGCATCCTGGTTTCATGGACATCCTGGCCAACCCCCAGAATCCTCCAGCCTGGTAAACAGCACTGTGTCAGGTAATATTCCTCATGCTGAGGCTGAAGTAATTAATTCCTATGAACACCTCAGGCTAAAAAGCAGGGTATCAGCTCCTGCTGTGGTGGGTATGATTGGTCTAACATGACTGGATAAAAGAAAATTAGGGGATAAGTGGAAAAAATAATAACTTGGTTGAACAGCAGGTGCCCCAGATCTTCCAGGTAGCAGGGGAGAAGAAAGGGGAGTCAAACTGATCAAACTGAGGATGTTTGCTGACCTTCTTGTTGCTCTCAGGAAAGCAAGAAGATATCTAAAGGATCATAAGAGCTGGATCAAATACACGAGGAAGGGCAGATTTATGGCTGGATCTGATGGTGGAAGAATAAATGGGTCTAATTCACACACACACTTGCTGAGATTCCTTTGCCACATGAATTTTGAGTATTTTCTGTGGGATTTCAGCTGCCAGAGAATCTGTCCCAGTTGTGACATGCCAGGTAAAGCTGTCAGCAGTGACAGGTAAAAGAAAACTCATCTTTTAGTGCCTGAACTTGAGCCAGTTCAATCAAGAAGTGGTTGAAGGTGAATAAATACAGGACAGAATTATAGTATTTTCACAACCTCTTTTCTGACTATAATTTCACTATTAGGAGGTTTGTTGGCACCTGTTGGAGAAATAAGTGCATAGGGAGGCATATCTCCTTTCTCCTCTTCTGTTGTGTTGAGAAGTGGAATTAAATTATTCTGTGCACAGACAGATTGTTCCAGTAAAATAGAATTTGAAGCCACCAGGGACCCACTGAGAAGAGAAGCTTTTACACTATATGAAAAGGCAAGAGACAAAACCCTTGCCAAAACCCCTTCACTCTTTATTACCGACAGCTGCAACGCTGGATGCGTCCGGATGCCTTTTAAGTGCCAAGGGGAGTGACGGAGGTGGGATGGCATGTGAGCAGATGAAATACACAGCAGCCTCTCCCCCGAAGGCAAGTTTAATTATTTGCAGTGTTGTATACACAAGAAAAAAATACACAGATATTGGGAAATCATTCACTGTGATTCCTGTGTCAGGTGGATTATGAAAAACACTTGCTCTTGCTGGTCCATGGCAGAGCAAGGTCTTAAAATATTCAGAACCTGCATACGCCTTTGTCACAGATGGGAGGAAAAATAAGGTAGAATATATTTCAAAGAGAGAGAACATGAATATATCAAGAGAGCAAAACCAGAGGCGCTTTGCTGTATGAACAGAGATATCCAACAGAAGTGAAACAAACCAAACTTTAAGGAAAAGAAACACCTTCATCTGTGTAGTTTCATTCCTGAGAACTTTCCAGCACATCCCCTCTTGTTCTTTCTGCATTTTAAGATCACTGGAACAGATTCTTTTGTCTGTTCAGTGCTCAACCAACAAACAGCTGCACTTTGTTAGTATCAGTTTTCCTAAATCCCTCTGCTCCAGGATCCAGAAGCTAATGTGAGATTTCTGAGTGACCATGAAGATGTGAAATGCTTTAACTCACTAGGTGTGGTTCAAGGCCATAAGTCAGAAATAAATCTTACCAATGATTCTACAGTCTGTGAAGATACAGAATAAGAAGATGCAGACAGGTCACCATTCTGAAGGTGCACTTTAAGGGTTAAATACAACTGACTCAGAAATGAGGACCACGAGCAAGGTTGTTTGGCAAGCCTTGATGTACTTGCTTAAGCTGATGTCTTATGACTATCAATAGCTTTTCTGCTTGAATATGAACCTGGCTCCATGCTGGATTAATTTCTCTCTTCTGCTGCTAACTTCAGCACTCCTATGAAGGAGACCTGCACGAGGACTGGTAGGTTTGAAGTGCAGCAGCGTGAAGAGCTGCCAGCCCAAATCCCAGCTGTGCTAGAGAAAGCATGCACTGCCTTTTCTGAATGGCTATGGGGCAGTCCTGTAGCCTGTTTTTCTTGGATGTTGCAAATATAATGCTTGTTCACGCAGTAAGATTCCTCCTCTCTGTGTTTATGTGAGGCTGGCTGCCCTTCTCTTACAGAATGCACACCTAATTATGAAGACTGTAACACATCATGTGATGCAATGAGGACAGGATATGATAGGTTTTTCAAAGCATATTTTGTGGCATTCAAGCAGATAACCATATTTTTCCCCTGCACAGTGGGCATAAATAGGTATATTTTAAAGAAAATAAAATCAGAGGTAGTGGTTGCCTTGCTACTGACCTAGTACCTATATTTGAAAACCTGAGTCAAACACACAGAAAGAGCTCTGTAAATTGTACAAGAAAAGAAAACATTATGACTTGCCTCACAGGGAGAGTTCCTCAAAGGAGCTGGAAATGCCGTGCTGGTCATGACAGTCTTTGCTACTGCTGGTGCCTTGCTGGTGTTAAGGAGGAGTGCACAACCTGGATGAAAGAGAAGGAAGAAGGTCAAACTGCAGCACTCACCTTTGTGTTTCAGGATTTGTGAAACCTGCCCCAAGCCTATGGTTAGCTCGCTCCTACCATGGCAGAATTCCAGGGAGCAGAAGGCTTTTTCCATCTTTTAGGGATGCAGCTTCACCTACCTAACTAACATACTCAGTAAGCACACTTAGGGAATCTGTGTACCTTACCCCACTGCTACCTTCTGTTGCTCCATGACTTCAAATCCATCCTCCTTGCAGGGGCAAATAATAAAGTGTATCTTTTATGAACAAAAAGTAACTTGGAAGAAAAGAATTTATCTTGACCAAACCTAAACAAAAGTACAGCTATAACTCTTTGCTTCTTGAATAATTTGTTGTAAACAGGAGGAACAAGGGCAGTATTGGGTTTTCTCTCAAAAGAGAACTGAAAAAAACCAACTTCAACAGTTTGTATGAGAAGGATTAGAAATGACTAGCATTTAGGTAGGAGAACCAAGTACATAGTAGTTGTACATTAAAGTGCAACTCAAGGGATCATGAAGCAAAGAGAAGAAAAATTAGGATGTGAGCAGAGGAAAAAAGCAGCAGTACAGAGAAATGGAGAAAGTAAATAAGAAAATCAGAAAGCTAAAACCAGATCAGTATGGTAGAGGGTCAGGCAGATGAACATTTGGTATGAATGTTTTTAGAAGGGGTCAAGATCTGTATCAGGTGTCAGTGGTGGAGACTGAAGTACCACTTTGTACCCTCAAGACATAAAGGGAGCAAGACAGTCTATTGCTCAAAGCACTTAGAGTGGAAAAATTGCATTTGAGAGTAGAAAGTTGGGATTTGTTTCACTTGAGGCTGAATATGTAATTACACAGGAAAACTTGTCTCGTGTTTCATTCCCTCTCCTCACCACGTGTGCATCATTTTTGCACTCCGTTGTTTATGCTCTACACTTACTGTTTACTCTCACACACCTTCTATAGACGGGAAACGGTTGTGTTCTGGGCTGCCAATCCGCCATGGAGAAGGATGGGATGCAGAGGAGCCTGGCATCCAGCCACAATCCCCTTCTTCAAAGGAACAGTAAAAGCCAGAGGGAAGCTTTCCTGAAAGAGGGAAAGACACACAGACAGAAGAAGCTAGGTGAGCTGAGGAGGCAGCTCCTGGCCTCACACAGGAGCTGCAGTGACTATTTCAGCCGGGTTTTCCAAGGGCATGTGGGTACTCCCAGCTCCTCAGGGCTTTCGTGTGGAATCTGTTCATGACTGGCCAGGGGGAGGGAGGAGCAGGGGGAAACAACCCCCAGACTGTGGCTAAGTGACTCCCCACCCACCTTGACCTGAGTGAGAGGACACATCTTACTACACACCTTGGGGTCTCCTAAATACCTGGGCTCCCAGCTCTGCAGGTGTCAGCTCGCTCAAGGTTACATCTCAGAGATGACTTTCCTAATCACTGCTTCTGCAGCCCCACAGAGGGAAATGTTGGAGAGGGAAAAATTCCCTACAAGATTCCCTGCCTTAAAGCCCGGGTTTCTACTCAGCCCAGCTCAGCAATGTGATCTCTCTGTGAGCACTGGTGTGGCCTCAGGTAAAGCACTGAATCCTTTTGTGCCTCAGTTTTTTCACCTGTGAGTTTCTTCCATGAGATGAATGGCTGAAAAGAGGATAGTTTATTTCAATCCATCCTTTGAGGCTTTGAAGCCTGCTCATTCTGTCACTAGCTTAGGATTTCAGTTTCCAGCTCCAAACAATAGAGCTCCATTAGCTTTTTACTTTGAAATTTGCCAGTTTTAAAGCAATAGTAGTCTCATTCAAAGAAGGCAATCTCATGCCTTCCATTTACTGCTCTACCTACAACTGCAAGTTCTTCTTACAAAGGGTGCAAAGTATTGTTCCTTTTGCTCCAAGAGAGGAGGATACATGAAATCTGTTTAAAATTGTAAGATAAAAATGAAATTTCATCTGCAAACACATATCCAGGATTTTTTTATTTTATTTTTACTTTTAGCTGCTTGATAAAATTGGAATAAAAATTACTTCGCTTACACACAGTAGGATAGACCACAACTTCTAAATCAAGAGAATCTTCTGGTCAAGTGATACAAGTAATTCCATTAGTTCCTCTATGAGAAGAGGAGGCTCTTGAACATATATTTTGTTGTGAATATTAATTTCTTTCCCCCCTGAAATTATATATCTATAAAGTTTCTGTCAAACAATGAGGCACCAGTATTCAAGCTCCAGATCATTCAAAATGTTTAAGTACCAGCAGATCCCCCTGGCTGAGATTGCAGATCAATTAAATACCTGCTCACAGGGCCCCAGCTTTGACTCACACACCTCAAAAGGCAATTGACTGTCATTGGCACAGGCATGTGGTCCTTGATGTACCCAAGAGAAAACACAACCATGGAACACAACTGCAGCATCTAGACCACAAACATTTGATTTTCTGGGACCCTGAATCACAACTCACTTGTCAGATGGAAAGGAAAAAATCCTCTGTCTCTAGGTTTTTAGTAGGGCTAGTTTTGGACCTGGAACCTGACATTGAGGCAAGAACCAAATTTTAGTGGTATTTTGTGCAAGCATCTAAACCTATAATGAAAAAATCAAAACATGTACTGAAGTTAGAGCTTTTTCAAGTTTTCCCTTTTAAAAATCTCTAAATTCATTCAGCCTGGTCTTTAAATGTGAAGCTGTTACTCAGAGAGTTACTTCCCTGTGTTTCACCCCTCTGCAGAACTTGATTATGTTTCATTGTGCAGCCTGAGGCCTGGATACAAAGAAAATGACAAATTATAACGTGCCCTGAATTCCCACTGAAACATCTTGGCTCAGTGTCCAACTGAATTCATGTCATGGCCATTTGCTATCTAGGATGATGTAAACAAGCCAGAGCAGCAGGAGGAGTCATCTAAGTAGCAATCCCTGCCTGAAGGCCAGGAAAAGCTCACTGTCGATGAACAAGTAAAGGCATAAATAAGAAGCTATTACTTTCACAGAATATTTCATTCCCTTTTCCCAAATTAATGTTTTATGAGTTTTCAGATGTCTCATGCCCTGGATGCATTTTCTTTGCTGCTCTTTCTTACCTTGAATATGTACAGCACCTGTGACTCCATGTGTTGGTACTCCACAGAGACCTCTTTGGCTACCACTTCTCTCCAACCTGCTCTTCTCCATTTCATGTGTTTGTGATTGAAACTCACATTAGCACAGACACTGCACTGATGAGGGGAAACTGGTCTGACTTTATAGGAAAATCAAGGAAATGAGGGGGCACGGGTTACTTCTACTGAAGCCTGCCATTTTGGATATTAATACCATCAACAGGAACCTCAGAAGATTTAGGCCTTGGTAAGATTAAGATACAACTCGTGAGTAAAGATGGATAACAGAGTAGTCCAGTAAAACTGAAGCACTCTGAGAATATAAGAGTAATGTGAACAAGAATGCAAATGTTCTTTTATGTGGGTAAGGAAGTAGGGAAAAGCTGTCAGATGTTAAACTTGTTCTTAACCAAATATGTTCAAGCCTTCAGAATTAAATACCTTTGAAGAAAAACCTAAGTAAGTTCTTTTTCTTTAACTCAGTTTTTTCATCCATTAATAGCAAGAGAATTAGTAACTGATACAATTTATGAAGCAGATGGAGTCATCTCTTGCTTCCAAACTAGGTGTAAATCAGTCAGATACTACAGTTTAAACTTCTGGGTGAAATTCCAAACTGCTATTATAAAGAACTAAAACGTTAAAGACTACTCTGTATGTATGGACCTTTATCAAGTTTAAGAGGAATTCTCAGAAGCCAAACAGTTCAGCTACTCAATTTAAAGAATCACATGAATCTTAAACATGAGTTTGTTTCAATGATTGCTTCTATGCTAGCAAAGCTGGCCAGCCAAATTCTACCAGAAATGAAGCATAAAAAGAGAAAATACTTTTCAACAGTCAGCAGAGTTATCCTTTAATGGCAGATGGCTTTGCTGAGCTCAAAACTGCCAGAGGTTAGAATTTGTTTCTGTAAGTACAGCTTTTGATAAAGAAAGAAGGAGAAGGATTAGTGTATGCAAGACAGGAACCTTAAGAGTGTAGCATGGCGTGGCAACAGTTTGCTGCTTCATCATTTTGCTTGCAGGAAGACTCTGCTGGGCTGTATCTGGATAAAAACGAATCCCACAATTTCTTCACACATTTTTGCCTGGAAAGCAAGCTGGCCCCTATAGAACTGATTATCTGTGCTGTTTCGGCCACTCATCTGTGTTATCAGAAAATGAAACTTTATAGGTTCCTATTCTAGCTGCCTTTTGACTGATGTGTGCCTGCAGTCCTCCAGCCACGTAGCACAGCCTGAGGCCCTCCTTTCAGGAATCAGACTCTTGTCTTTCTAATCTCACCTGCTAAGGTGTTTAACATCCTTAAATATTCAATGAAGCAGAGTGAAATTTACCCTATAACCCAATGATTATGAGATTTATTTGAAAGATAAAGAGGACATTACTTCCTGTTCCAGCTAAAATTCATATAATATGGAAGTGCAACCTCATGAGAGACTTGGTTAACCATTTTCTCCTGAACTAGACCAGAATTCCAGACCACAAGCTTGGAAGCTCCTTATGGGAATAGAAAATATGGGTTCAAATTCGCAGAAAAAACAGTCCTGGTTTAATTGTGTCCTAAGTGAATCCTATAATTTCTGGGTCACTAAATAATAAATATACTACTGTCACCTCCATTATTTAAAATGTTACATTTTTAAAATATATCCATTACTTATCTAGCATGCTTGGTCTGATAAACCAATATTTTCCAAGAATGAATTGTTTTTTGTGAATTTGTCACAGAAAGTGTAATAGTTTTGGACTAGTCAGAATTATATGTATTCCTTCTCAGTAAAGTTTTAACTTTTGCCCTGACTTGCTGCCCTGCAATGAAAGATTATTGAACCAAAATCGTAGATACTGTTAACTAAAAAGAGAAGTACAAAACTGCTAAAACAAATTCAACCTTTCTGTAAAACAGAGCCCTGCCCATCTGTGTTAGTAAATAATTTGAGTTTTCATGTCTGTCTTGTACCTCACAAAGTATGTAACATGTGATTACTACAATAAGAGAAAGTACGTTGGGGTTCTCTACCCCATATGTTCTATCCATATGTTGAGTGATTTGGTAAACTACTTATATAGAATTTGCTGCTTAGCATTAATAGATAAGTTTGCTGATGCCTAAGGCACAAGCTGTGAACTTTCACCAGATACGCTGAACTTTCCACTCAGTCAAATATGAGAAAACCCTAGAGCTGGTTCAAGACAGAAGATAAGGAATTCATTAACAGAAGCTGCAACCTTAGAAATAAGAAACATCCTACCTAGAGGCAAGCAAGGTACACAATGAAGAATGGGAAGAGCTCCCAGAGCTTCATACAGGGGACAACTGGCTCAAACAGTCCCATGAAGGCTGGGAAATTTAGATTGTTTGACTATAATCAACTCTTTGTTCAAGGTCCCTCTTTGGAGGCACCCAGCTCCAGCTATTACACCATCTTAAAAAGTACTTTTATAGAGGAATCTGTCTTTCAATTTATGAGCTCAGCAGAAACCAAGAGTCAAAGCCTGCCATGATGGCTGGCACGTGTAGTTTTTGTACCTGGAAAGGCATGAATTTACTAGCTGAGCCACACCACCAGTGCTACCTGAAGTATTAATGTGTGCCTAAAAGTGTGCTCTGCAAAGTAATTTCTAGTGTGGCACTTCCATCAAGCTGGTGAATCCGTATGTCTGATCCCAGGTCAACACACACGCGCAGTTCGCATCTCATCCCACATCTGCCTCTTTGAAGCTGTCTTTTACTCCTGCAAGAAAATCTGATTATGACTCAAACAGCAACATGCTTTTCTCTAGGGGTCATCCCTCTCTGATTTTACAATTCCTACACAGACTAATTGGTTGCAAAGCAGAACAAGCACCATGACGTTTCATTGGCCATTAATAAGAAGTGTTAGCAAACAGCAGGCTGTAGAGAGATCTTTTCCAGCTGAGATAGGAACAAAATTAAAATTATTAGGGAAAAAAATTAAAATAATAAAAAAACCAATTAGTACTTGTAAAGCTAAAAGACTGTGAAAGGCAAAAACTCCAACACCTCCTTGAAGCTCAAAGAGAGAAGCCTTTGATAATGGCATTTTTAAAATCTCTCGCCTCACTTTTGAGCATAGCTCATCTTTTTCTGACAGCTCTTTTGTGTAAGCAGAACCATTTGGGAAACCCTTTTCTCTGGTTGATAAATCTGAATCACTTTTTACCACACTTGCACAAAGCAGATGAAAATATCCATGTTGCTCAGGAGTAAAATGACAACTAAAATGCTGAAAGATGACATATGTTTTGTGTTAGGCTGCCATGCAGATATATGTGACACCTCAAACATTAGATCACTTCTCTGTTTTGTGTAAGAAACCTTATGCCAACAATATTCAGCACTGTAAAGAAGGAAAAGCAGAAGGATCTGCCATAGAACTGAGCAGGCTTGTAGGTGGATAAGCAGGAATATCCACAGCCTGGGCTCTTGCTCAGGCAAGCCATGCTTTTTTATTACTTGAGTGGAAGACAGTGATTTTTGGACCTTTTGGCTGGAAGTAAGATCTCTCATTTCCAGTACCTATGGGTGAATGCAAGCCATTTGGTCTCCTTAAGCTGGGAGTCATGCTCTGCTAAACAGCTAGCTAAATATTTTCTGTTTTTTACATTTTCTCACTTACATTCTCAGTACATTCCTTTGCCAGCACAGCTGCAAGTGCCATATTGCCTTGTGAAAACAGCTACAGATGAATGGAGGGAGAAAAGACAACCAGACCAAGACTTGTGGGTAACATATTCCAGAGAGGCAATGGCTGCTTTTCCACTGGGCTCGCCATGGGGTACAGGGTGGCAGCAAGGGGCAAAAGTAGAGCCACCCTCCTGATACATGAATATGAAAAACAAACCTGCCACAAGTGCAACCAATATCTGAAACAGGCAAGCATGTTCCTCTAGGCCTGCCCAATCCCATGGTGGTATTTAGTTTGCATCCATGATCGGTACAGCTCCACCTTGTGAACTCTGCTCTTCCCCTGGCACAGACAGGATTACTCCCACAAGGCAGAGCCATTTATGGCACACAGGCACCAGAGTGTGTCTGAACATACCGTTGAGGGTAAATAATGTTTCTCTACTTCCAATGAAATGAAAATGCATTCAACCTTATTTAATTATAGAGTAGAACACAATAGAAATGCCATTATGAGGTTTTAGAGTTCTATTTTAAAGGTCTTAGATGGAAATAAGGTTTTAATGTTACTAATATGAAGCATTATTGGTTTTAAGAAGCTGCAAGTCCACAGTGCTGACATTGTTCCTGTGAATTTAACGTCCACTGAGTGTGTCATTAAAGAATATAATTTCAAATTGTAACAATGTCTAAAATGATGGAGAAGCATGTAATTTCAAGCTTTTAACTAGTTTCCTAGATGATCCCAGGTCAAACCAATGTTCTCCACACCAATAAAGTCTGCATTTTATTTCTTTATTAGCAAAAAAGAAGTGAAATCCGCTAGAAGGTGTATATCACTACTCGTGTTAAGTTCTTGCTAGAAACAGCAAACCTGTTTTTTACATATCACATCAACACAATTCTATTGTAACAGCCCACAGGCTATATCAGCTGTGGCACAAACACTTTGAATAATGAACTCTCAATATTTATTTTTCTTGATATATTTGCCCTGTAGACAACCATACAGCTGAAAACCCACCACTGCTACCTATTTGTAGGCTGGCACATGGGAGGATGCTGGAGGCAGAATGTACAGAGGTACAGAAAAAGTGATAAGGCACCCTCAGGATAGTTAAAGGAAGGTCCTAAGGTATCTGAGTTCCACAGCACATTTTTGAAAGTACTCAGGCACAACAAGTTCTGAGAAAACTTAGGCTGCTATCTATCTTCTGCTGTATGTTATTGGACTATTGACTCCTGAAGAGAGGGTAGAAAACCAGAGGAATTACAAAGACACAGGAGTTGGTCAAAGACAAGCTACTGGCTCTACTCATTTTTCATCTTAGAAGTTTTCTCTTTCCTCTCCCCCTCTGCCACATGCTGTACTGCATTTTGATTAAAGGCTCTAGCCAACTGCACATTTCATAATTCTGTAAGGCATCTAGCTATTCAGGCTATACTTCCTTTGCATTTTTGATCAGGACACTGGAAGTGATGAAGCACTGAGAGCATGTTAAGAAGCTGCTGCAGAACTGATGGAAGTGAGCCCAGAAATATCAAATGGTGCACTCCAGGCAGACACCCAGAGAAACAGCATCTGTTTTGGGGGACACAGATCTTTTGATAGCACCAAATGAATCTGTTAGTGCTAAAGTCTCAGACATTAAAGTCAAACCAATCAATTCTTGTGGAAAAGGAAGGTACAACCTGGGGGTTAGGATTTACTCACTGCACATATCTCCCTCATCTTCTCCCTCAGCGCAGTCCTGGATGAAGTCACACGCCTGCCCCAGCCTGATCACTGTTCCATTCCAGCAGCTGAAGGAACCCTCCAGAGCCATCTTTGAGAGAGAAGCAGATCCTAGAGAATAAGAAAAAAACAACAAAAACACTTCGGATAACCAAATTTCCTTCCTTTCAACCAACAGGTCATAGCATTGTACATAACACTGAAGGGATGAATACCTTGTAAAATCTCAATTCAATACTTACTTGCTAGTTGTTTTTCTGACCTATTTAATTTTGTCAAATGTCTAATGGTCCACCTAATACAGAATTTCAGTTCTCCAGGCCTTTCTGGTGCTATAATATGGAAGGCAGCCTTGACCCCTGGAGGGCTTAAATTCTGCAGCCTGCTCTGGTACTTCTCAAGAACAACACAATACACTTTAGGTTTTTAATTGTGTGTGAATTTATTGCTGCACTGACAGTCCTGAAGGCTGATATCCTCTCTGTCTAACTCAGGAGTAACAAGGCTACAGGACCTAGAAAGAGCACCAGCTTTCATCATGCTCTCCTGGCAACATGCATTACCTTTGCTTTGGGTGCATTGTGTTGTCATATTTTCTGTAGGAGAGAAAACAGTTCAATCTCTACTTGTAACTTTCTTTCTCTTCCATGCCTACTCCTGCTGCTGCATCCTGCGCTTCCTTGAGTCAGGGAGCCCACAGCAGACTACATCTACCAAGAGTCACCAGTTCATTTTATCTGTGCTAAGCAGCAAAAGACATCCAGCAATGTGCAAAAGAGATATCTATTATGAAATGGGGTCACCAAACATTACAATTAGAGGTCAGTATCATCCACTCAGAAATGATCCTGAGTACTTTTGCCTAAGAACCATCCTTTTCTGGAGGCACTTGATTCCCTTGACAGCTGAGAAGTCAGATATCAAGTAGCCTAACAGGTATAATTTTCCTTACTGTAGGAATTCTCTCATCCCAAGTCCTTTGTGATGATACTGAGGACAAGGCCTTCTTTTTTTAATTTTTTTCTTTTTTTTAAGAGGCCCATGCTCTAGATTAGATGCCTGAAGGAGGCAATTAGTTCAGTAATGTCCTGAAGTCAGTGTGAATGGAGGAGTCTAAGCTTGAAAAATGCCAGAGCTCCTTCCACAAAAATCTGAGTGTGGATGCAGTCCCCTGCTGTTCAGGACACCTTCCTGAATCTGCCAAGACATGCTTCCAGTCACTGCTGGAAGACAAGGCTGGAAGAACAAAGAGATGTGTGCTGTGAATTCCCCATTGCAGCAATAACTGCCCTGTCTTGTATTAAATGGGTAAATGCTCCAGATCAAACCAAAGCCTCTGGGCAGAGAGAGCCATTGTTTGCCTAACTCATCCATGCTCACTAAACAGTGCAGCTACATCATGTTCTCTGGTACTACAGGGAGTTGGAAATCACTGGCGATTCAATTAGATGTGCACTTGATATTTTTATTTATATTGCCTGCCAAAACTAAAAATTAATGAAGCATGTAGGAAAACAACCACTATTTCTCTTCCAGCTTATTTTATGGTGCAAATCATTCAGGAGTGCGGGGAATACATGCCAAACTTTATTAATAAAGGATGACAGATCCTGAAAAGGGTGCTCTGTGTTATTGTCAGGTCGATTTTTTTCTCTTCCTTAAAGCAATTCTGGCTTGCCACATATAGGCTGCACAACACCCTTGTATTCCAGTCCAGGTCAAGACATGACTACAGAGAAGAAGCTTTGAAGGAAAAATAGACCAAGTAACTCGTAGCTGGCTGCTGACATTTTCTGTGGGCTCCTTGGTGAGGGAGTTTAGGCAGTGAGATGGTATCGCTCTTGGCTTTGCTGAACTTCCTACAGAAAATGAACCCTCAGAGACAGCGCTGAGAGCCTTCCCTATGTGAGGTGAAAAGCTCTTCACATGGCACAAACCAGACACTTGGGGCTCAGGTCAGTGTGCAAATGGGCACCACAAAGCTGTAAGAAGGGACTCTGGTAACTCAGTAGGTGATCCCTTCTCCTAGGGGTGTGCAATTAGCCCGAACAGCACCCTGTTGTTGGAAGTACCACCTGAAGAAAAGTTAGGAGATATAGCCCCAGAGCACTTCCATGAGTTAGCAACATCATAACACTCTTAAGAGATCCTGAAGTTCTACTGAAATTCAGAGTACTCTTGTCTCTCTGAATTATCCCACAGATGGTTTTGAGCCCCATGTTCAGCACCAGCTTTCATGTCCCACTCAGTTTATCTGCCATCTTTTCAGCAATGTCCGTGTTTTACTTCAGCAGCTGCAGAGATACACAGAGATTCAGAGGAGTGGTTATTGTAGGCAATGGGGTTGCTCTGTTTACTCAATTCATTATAACTTTTTAAAGGCACTCACTTTTCCAAGCACACGACTGCATTAACACTAATTATAATGGAACCAAGGCATTCAAGAGAACCTACTTGTCTTCCCAGGTGTTTGTTGTTGCAGCCTAGGGGCACAAATCTCCTGAAGCCAGCTGACTGTAGTATTTGAAATATGTCAGTTGCAACTGGGAATCAGGCAATTCCAGGAGCTATTTCTCCAAAACAAAGCAGCAGATTTGCATGCTCATTCATCTCTTTGGAGACGGGGCTTGAATTAGCTCAGATTTGCATTAGAGCAATATATACGTGCTCCTTGTATAGGTTAGAGAACACAAATAGCAAAGCTGCAGCCCAGGGAACGGCTGGGCTCTGTTACAGTGCATGATTTATTCCCATCTTGTTTGCTTGCTTACTGTGAGCACAAAGGCAAAATGAATTGGAGAAAGAAGATGATTAACTAGTAAAACAAACAGATAACCAAAAAAAGCCCAAATACAAATAATCCTTTTAATGGGCCACTTAATGCAGATGTTTGCATCCAAGCTCAAGGAAACTCAAATTTTAATTAAAATACTTTGCAAGAAAAACAGACGTTTGATCTTTTCAGTTCCCAGACTCAATTACTCCTGGCAAAGTGAACCAGAATGACCTGGATCGCTGAGTGAAGTGGCCTCCACTCACACACAGAAAATACCTTAGGAAAGGAAAATGAATGGTATCAAATAAGTATCAGAGTAAAATTTGTGGGAGACATCCGTTATATTTACAGCAGTGTTTATGTAGCCAGTGGCATCCATAAATTACAGCAGTAATTAAGCTGTACCATGGCTGGCTTGGAGGCTTATAAATCATTATTTAAACAGGAGCACTAAATAAATGGCATTTCAGGCTCTAAATTGAAAGTAGAAACAACTCCTTGGGGAACTAGTGCCGACTTGGTACCTCACAGGTTCTGCTTCTCAACACAATGCAGTCCTGGCAGTGTTCAAATCCAGTACCAGACCCTGGACACAAATGACAGCCTGGGATCTTTACAGCCCATGCTTTTGGACCTGGTTTCCATAGATCAGGATGGAAAGAGGAAAATCATGTGGCTTAGCTTATGCAGGATCAGCAACTTACTGCTCGCACTGTGGGACCCAAGGGGATGTATTTCAATTCTCAACAGATTTTCTCTGACTTGGGTTTCCTCTTCACTCGTTCCCTGTCCCCTGACCAGCAGACAAATCACAGTGTGCTGGCAAGCTCTGGCAAGTCTGTCTCTGAGGAATCCTGGCCAGAAAGATCGTGGTGTTTGAGCACTGCAAGATGGGAAACTTCACCTTCCTGCTACCACACTTGGTCAGGTGGGATGGAAGAAATTCTTGGAGGCATCTACAAAAATATCTCTTATCTGGCAAACTGGCTACACTGTTAATTATCATGCAGGGTTTAATGAAGCTGAACATAATTATACCTTCACATGCTACATTCAACTTCTTAGACCATAATTTTTAATTCTACCAAAAGCTTTTGGGACAAACACAGTCAGGTGAAGCACTCCTGCTGAGCACATATTAAAACAGAAGAGCTTAATAAGACAGTGCTTGGTTGCTATTTAAAAATTGTCTCATTTGTACTCTGCAAAAAATTCCAAAGATCTGGGATAAATGTACAGCCTTGTCACATTTTACCAGCAAGCAGCTTCTCTCTGGGCTGTCCTTGATGACACTGTACAGAGCTGAGTTTATTTCAGTGGTTCTCAAGGCAAGACCCTATATGCCCACAATGTGAAAAATGTCCATTTTTAATTGCATACGTGTAGCAAAAAATACCTACCCATGGAAGTCCACCGTGTTTATCTAACCATATGTGTTATCTCTCAAAACAGAGAGTTTCTTACTATTTGATTTTATCTCTTAAAAGATGTTTTCCAATGGGTTAGTGCTGCAGCGTACTATCCCTCCACTGAATGTCACTAAAAATCTGGGATTGTATAAACTTGTTGATGATGTGTCACAAGTATTTGTCATTAACTTCTCAGTTTCACCTGCCCCTCCTTTGGCTTGAGTCCAAAGCTTTGACTCAGATATTTACAAAAACTGCATGGGGGAGTGAAAGGTTGTGTGAAAACAGAAAATTTGCTGTCTAGCTATAAAAGAATAGTGAGAATTTGGGGGAGTTTCTGATTATTGATTTTTCCATGACTTGCCATTTCTGATGGCTCCGTATTTCCTCGTTCTTTATCTCCAGTCCTCCAGCAGCACAGACATTTAAAGGCTGCTGGCTCCCTTTGTGCTGAGGATAGCCATATTCCAGGACAAAGTAAATTTGCTATTGATACAAGTCACTAAAACTCACACTTTCACCATTAGAGAACTTGGAAGGTATGAAATAAAGAAGGAAAGAAAGTGAGAGAAATGAAAGGTGAGTTGATATTTGAGGGGAGTGAAGCCATGCTTAGCAAATGGCCATTGAACTCCACATGATACAGGGCAGATCACATAAATCACAACTTTCACAGCAAGCTACACTGCTCTCATTTTCCAGCCACCCACCCCAGGACACCTGTATCCAGACCAGCAAGGAACCCAAGTAGTTGCAGCTGCAAATGAGACCAGTGAGAGAAATACTTGGAAAACACATTGTCTTCAAAAAATGCTTTGAAGGAAAGGCTGGATTCCATGTTTCTAACCAGGCAGTCAAAATTGGTCAACACTTCATAATTTCTGACTTTAATATTTGTAACAGCATTGTTATTGTTACTGTCATTG